TCGAGAGTTGCAGCAGCGTGGTCAGCTTCGTGTCGCTCACGTGCCCACCCGGGCCAACACAGCTGATGTGTTCACCAAGGCCCTTTCGGATGATGATCATCAGCGCTTCTGCACTGCTCTAGGCCTGGTGCCTACGTTTCCTCACTTGTTTTAGACTTTGCTTGTACTGTGATCTATCTCTCTCTCTCTCTCTCTCTCTCTCTCTCTCTCTCTCTCTCTCTCTCTCTCTCTCTCTCTCTCTCTCTCTCTCTCTCTCTCTCTCTCTCTCTCTCTCTCTCTCTCTCTCTCTCTCTCTCTCTAATGGTCCGTGTATTGATAGATCAAGAAGGTACACACATGCAGAGTATGGAGCAAGCAACAAACAACACAAAGTACCAATGCTAAAGCACCCCTGCTATCACCCTACCGCCCCTCTCTAAAGCTATAAGAGGGGCTCTACTACTGCGAAACAATCCCCCATGCCCAATCCCCCCCACCGGGGGGTTTTCTGCTGCTGCTGCCTCGCCCAACTTCATGAGAAGTCCCACTGACTGGGCCCTTTGGAGGGCTACCGACCAACGCTGCCGGAATTGGTGCAAGAACTTGGCGGCATAGAAAGATTTTGAGTCGGCGTTGAAGTGGCGCCGAGCCGCTGAGTCCGCGAGAAGCTTAAGGAATACCGGAACCTCCGCGCATGGGCAGCCATAGGTGTCTACTGCGAGGGGGAAAAAGCCAACCGTCTCCGGGCGGTTGGCATAGTGCTTAATCTTCTTGTCGGCCTGCTCCCGGGCCGCCCACCCTCTGCCTTTCTGAGCCTCTGGGTCCCTGGTGCTGATGGGATCAGTGACGGTGACGTCGCAGATGTAGACGGCTCCGGTGCTTCTGTCTGTCATGGTGAAATCCGCCGTCTGTTCCTCGATGGGGCAGTAGGCGGTGGACTCCCGATGGACTATAAAGCCCGCATCTTGCGCCATGCTGACGCAAGCGTCCCGCAGCTCGTTGTGGGTGTTCGTGCGGTGCTTGCCTGTGGCGCACCGAAGCAGATGGTTCGGAAGGCGGGGGTCGGGGATGGCCGTGTGCTCAGGGCAGTCACAGTTCTTAGGGGTTGAGAATGGCAGGGCGAGACGGAAGCGCACCGCGTTCGCAAAGTGCACTGGCCCTATCCGCCGCGTCGCTGCCACTGGGACCGCCGTGATCCAATCGCCTGTGCCATAGCCAGTCAGAGAATACATCCGCTGCGTATGACCCGCGAGCGGATTCAGCCGCATGCGCCTCGTCGCTTGCACCTGTACGGCATATCTGCTGCCGTGCACCTGCAGCCCGAGGACATGCTGCAGCCGTAGGTCAGATCGCTCGAGCCGCTCCTTCTCTAATATCTCGCGGGCGTCCGTCGGTAGCGCCTCCTCACACCCCGTCAGCCAAACGTGCAGAGGCGTGCTGCTGTCCCGCGGCAGGAGCATGTGGTCCCGCGCCTGCGCGAGCGCATTCACGTCACCCAGCGCGAGGTTGTTGAGAAACAGCGCCGCCTGGGTGAAGCTTGCTGCGAAGCCGTAGATCCCCTCGACTAGGGGATTTGTGATGCCGAGACCCCCCAAAGACGGTGGTAGCGACGCCTGCTCCCAAACCCTCGTCTGCTCGGCTTGGCAGGTCGGCATGCGGAGGTCGCAGGCGGTAAGGAGGGTGGTGAGGAGGTCCATGCCCCACTGGCTCCACTTGTCGCGGGGAAGGAGGCTCAGGGGCGTTGTCCGTGTCATGTACGCGACGCGCCTCGAAATGCAGCGCGTGATTAGCAGTGCCGCTACCTGGGGATCCGTCCGTTCAATCAGCGGCAACGGCTTCGCCATTTCGGCCAGCTGTTCTGCCAGGAAGGTAGCCGCGCCGTCGTCAGGCCCGATGAAGCTGCCTAATAGCTGCACGCCGTCTTTTGAGAACGGCACTCCTGGAGGTAGGTGGGGCGCTTGTACTGTACTCGAGCTCCATGCGGCACATTTCTGGGGGTTGTGTTCGAGCCCCAGAAGTGACAATTTGCTGGTGAAGTGGTTGAAAGCTGCTACAGTGTCTTCTGCTTCCCCGATGAACGTCACGTCGTCCGCATACGCCAAACAAAGCACACCAGGGTGTGTGTCTGCAGTGTCGCGGAGTGTTGCGTGCATCCCTGCCGCGAACAGTAGCGGGCCGAGTGGGTCCCCCTGGCGAACACCGCGTTCACTTCGGAGTGGTTCAGACGCGAAATTTGCATCCAGGAGCAGCTGCGACGGGTTACCGTATGTTAATTTGACGAGCGGCAGGAGTGGCGAGAGGGCGGGGGTCTGTAACGCGGTGGCGATGGCTTTTCGCGAGATGGTGTTGAACGCGTTCCTGATGTCGGCTTGCAGCACGAGGCTAGCGGGGCGGGCGTCCAGGAAAGCCCTGGCCGCGTGGATTATTGTCTCGGCGCCACCTGGCACTGCCACGCCGTACTGTAGTGGGAGAAAGAAGTCGCGGGCAGCGTCGCCCATAGCTGACAGGGCTGCTTTGGCTGCCAGCCTCGTCAAACATTCACCGATCGCGATTGGCCGAGCCCCGCCTCCAGGTTTGGCCAAGGCGATGAGGCGCGACGCGGTCAACAAATTTGCCACCGAGTCGGGCAAATTTCCGCCCAAGATGGTGTTAACGAGGGCGTGCAGATGGGTGCTGACCAGTGCATTTGTGACCGCCGAGTCGCGCAAATGTTCAAATGTCATCCCCGACGGCCCTGCCCCCACTCCATTGTCGCATCTGCCCAACATCTTAGCGAAATCCGCGTGGGCGATTGAAAGCTTTGACCCCTCCGGAGGCGTCGGCCAGATCACCTCCTCATCAGCAGCATGTGGGTGCTTCTGGCGCAGCTCCTCCAGAATTTCGGGGCAGGGCGTGCAGACTGGCGTTGACTCCAGGGCAAGGACGGCTCGTCGTAGACTGCCACGTTTCGCCAGGCCCTCGGCTCGTTTGATTACCCCGGTCGCGTCAGGCCTGTGCCGAGGCGGAGGTGGCGTGTTGACTGCCGCTACCGTGTCCCGGTACAGTTGATCCCATTCGCCACGCTGGAAAGCTCGGAGCCGGGCTTTGATTTTTGGCCAGTCCGGTCGTTGCGGCGAGGTTTGGCGAAGAGTCAGGCGCGGGAGAAACAACAGCAGCCGCCAACCTGTCTCTGACTCTGGGTTTCGTGAGAGGTGCAGTAACGGCGTCAGTAACACCAGCGAGAACAGCTGACATAGATTTGGCGGTAAACGCCGTGACAGCGAAGGCTGACGACTGTCGCACAAAGCCGCGATGTCCCAATTCCCGATTGCAACGAACAGGTCTGTTCGCTTCGCCAGTTCTTCTGGTGAGAAATAGCGGGGAGTCGGAGCGGCCGGTCGCGTCGCAGCACCCCTACTCGCGGCCCGATTTCGTCGAGCACGGCCCAGTCCCGCAGGCGAGGCAGATGTTGGGATCTCCACCGTCCGATCGGCATCGTACGGCGTGCGTGCCTCCTGGGGCGTTTGCACTCATAACCCACTCTCTCTCTCTCTCTCTCTCTCTCTCTCTCTCTCTCTCTCTCTCTCTCTCTCTCTCTCTCTCTCTCTCTCTCTCTCTCTCTCTCTCTCTCTCTATATATATATATATATATGTGTATATACCTGCATGCTTACTCTTGCTAGGTAGTGATCACTGTACTGTTGTTGTTGCATATATACCTCTGCATGTGAACTGGCCTTGTGGCCCTTTGCTTGTGCTCGGAGTGTGTGGTGACGTTGTGATCCACCCTGAGCTTGCTTTGCTTTTCTTGACTGGTCTTGTGACCCCTTGTTCTCCCCCACTTTGCCTATGGGGGTGTGTCAAACTATATATGTTTCTAGTATAATATGTAGGTTGTAGTGGGGTAGCCAATATGGGGTATAACCCCTTTAGGGTTTCCATATGTACCCAGCACATTCATAGTTCATTCATTCCTGCTCGTTAGATTCTAACAGATGAAGCTCTGATAGGGGGCCGTAAGAACACGCCCTTATATCTGGGGTATGACGGTAATGTGAAACTTCAGCCTTGCCTGGCACCCGTATATGTGGAGCTGGCTGATGGAATCCAACTGCTGAGCTCAACGGTGGGGACAACTAGAGCAACGGTGCCCGATGGGACAACGGTGTCCCCGGCTTGAAGTCCAACCTCGTCTCCTTTTGCCAAATGCAAAAGAAAAAAGCACGGATTCACACACATGCGGATGGGCACACAGAGATCACAATGGCGGACGAAGATGGGGATGCAATCATTGAAGTTGGAATAACCATGCATGGGGTTCTCATGGTGTCAGGGGGGTTATGAGCGCACGGACCTGCTACATAAACAAGCCTTTCTATCTCAATGGTCGAGTGGTTGGGATTCTGACAGGCTGGTCCACGTTTGCATGTATTGAGTGAAGCGATTGGGTGCAGTGGCACGTGCATACACCATGAGAGGGTAAAGCTTCACACTGCATTAATTTTATATTTTTTGTGTGCTGAAGAACCACCACATTAGTGCACCCACTGCCCTATTTTCATGGCGTAACACCACCTTGTGCTATATATCCGAAGGATTACGGTAGTTTTTGCTCGATTCAAGGCACACTTGAAATTATAAATACTGTTGTAGGTATGCTCAAATTAAATATTGTGGTACGGTATGCTCCAATTAAACATTGCTGTATGCTCAAATCTTTTTGGACCAAGCCTATCTGTGCTGCTAAGCACTCTTGTTAGAGAGAAGGGTGCAGCCGCAGTCAGAAGGGGGGCATGCATAAATACGCACACAGGTGAGCGCTTGATTCATGGATTTGCCCTGCAATGCAACTGGCACAGCTACCGTTGCAGTGGTGGCGCACGGCAAGAGCCCCGCAGCACGTGCGGGGGGAGGAGGGGGGGGTTGCGCGGACGTGGTGGGTGCTAAGGCAATGTGGTGGGCGACATGGTCAGGGATGGGGTGGGAGACATGGTGAGGGATGGGGAGGGGTGGGTTGGGGGACGCGGGCCGGAGGCGATGCACTAGGGGGCGACGAAGGCAGCGAAGCGGGCATCCCTGGGCGTGTCGGGCACCTGCACGAATGGCAGTGTGAGCAGCTGCACAGACACAGAAAGAAGGAGGCAGAGGCATGGGGGAGCGTGCGAGGTGGTGAGGGTAGTGGCCCATGTGGCAGTGAGTGTGCGTGCCTGGCACGCGGGAGGTGTCTGTGGCGTGTGTTACGCAATTGGGAGGTTTTGCTGAGAGAGAGAAGCTGCGAAGGTGAGTGGGGCATGGTGTGGGGCATGCACTGGTATGAGGCAGTTGCAGCATGGGGGCGTGCGTGCAGCATGGGGGCATGCGTGCAGCATGGGGGCATGCTTGCAGCATGGGGGCATGCGTGCAGCATGGGGGCATGCGTGCAGCACACAGGGAGGACAGAGGCAGCCTTGCTGAAGCAATACGAGCGGACCAGAAAAGATGAGCAGAGGGAGGCAGTAGCAGCACGGCGCACATGGCAGCACGGCGCACATGGCAGCACGGCGCACATGGCAGCAGGGCGCACATGGCATGGCAGCACGGCGCACATGGCATGGCAGCAGGGCGCACATGGCATGGCAGCACGGCGCACATGGCATGGCAGCAGGGCGCACATGGCATGGCAGCAGGGCGCACATGGCATGGCAGCAGGGCGCACATGGCATGGCAGCAGGGCGCACATGGCATGGCAGCAGGGCGCACATGGCATGGCAGCAGGGCGCACATGGCATGGCAGCAGGGCGCACATGGCATGGCAGCAGGGCGCACATGGCATGGCAGCAGGGCGCACATGGCATGGCAGCAGGGCGCACATGGCATGGCAGCAGGGCGCACATGGCATGGCAGCAGGGCGCACATGGCATGGCAGCAGGGCGCACATGGCATGGCAGCAGGGCGCACATGGCATGGCAGCAGGGCGCACATGGCATGGCAGCAGGGCGCACATGGCATGGCAGCAGGGCTCACATCGGAGGCGGAGGGGCGCTGGTTGGGGTCGAGCTGGAAGCAGGCGGTGAGGAAGTCAGCAGCCTCGGCGGACACACCCTCAGGTATGGGCGGGCCCGTGGTGGTCTTGGCGATGTGGAAGATGGCCGACCACGTGTTGTCCATGCCCGGCCATGGGTGCCTGCCCGCCCCCGCCCATCCCCGCCCCACAGTCACAGCCACGTCAGGACACATGTGAGCACGAAGCAGACGTGTAAGAGTCAGAAGATGGCAGGAGGATGATAAGAGGGCGAGAAGGAATGTGTGCAGTGCAAGGAAGGGGGAGTGGAAACGGGAGAGGAGGGTTGGCGCCTTCCTTCACCCTCACCGCCCTTCTTCCACCCCAACCATGCCCCACCCTCTCGCCTCTCAGACTCCTACTCTGAGTGCAGGATCTCAATGACTCACCGCCCTGTGAGCATCTCGATGACGGTGCAGCCAACGCTCCAGATGTCAGCGCGGCGGCCGTACCCCTCGCCCTTGATGACCTCGGGCGCCATCCAGAACACCGACCCGCGCATCGACTTGCACCCCTCGCCCACCGTGCCCTCGTGGAAACTCTGCCCGCCAACGAGGGGCCGTGAGGAGGGGAGGGAGGGAAGGAAGGGTGAGGGGATGGAGGGTGATAGTGTGGTTGGATGGCAGAGAGGAAGAGGAAGGCAGCTGTGATAAGGCAAACTGCTACTGGCGATCGTGTTCCACCTTGGAGGCGCCCAAGTCACCTTGGAGGCGCCCAAGTCACCTTGGAGGCGCCCAAGTCACCTTGGAGGCGCCCAAGTCACCTTGGAGGCGCCCAAGTCACCTTGGAGGCGCCCAAGTCACCTTGGAGGCGCCCAAGTCACCTTGGAGGCGCCCAAGTCACCTTGGAGGCGCCCAAGTCACCTTGGAGGCGCCCAAGTCACTTTGGAGGCGCCCAAGTCACCTTGGAGGCGCCCAAGTCACCTTGGAGGCGCCGAAGTCGGCGAGCTTGATGACGCCGTCGCGGTCGACGAGCACGTTGCCGCCCTTGATGTCGCGGTGCACGATGCGGCACGCATGCAGGTACTCCAGCCCCAGCAGCAGCTGCCGCGTGTACACCCGCACCAGCGACTCGCTGAACGCCCCAAACTTCTCCAACATGCTGCCGGGGGGGACACGGAGGGCAGGAGAGGCATTGGGAGAAGAGTGGGGAGGGGAAGGGTAGAGTACAGGGATGAGGGGTAAGAAGCGAGAGGAAGTGGCAAGAGCTGGCAGTAAAGAACAAGACAGTGAGCCCACCTGTGGATGCAGCCCACCTGTGGATGCAGCCCACCTGTGGATGCAGCCCACCTGTGGATGCAGCCCACCTGTGGATGCAGCCCACCTGTGGATGCAGCCCACCTGTGGATGCAGCCCACCTGTGGATGCAGCCCACCTGTGGATGCAGCCCACCTGTGGATGGAGCCGCCAGAGACGAATTCAAGGAAGATATAGATGGAGCCGTCGGCCTCATGCTTCTCCATGTCGATGTACCCCACGATGTGGCGGTGCCGCATCTTCTTGTACAGCACGATCTCGCGCTCCAACGCCGCGATGAGCATCGCCTTCTCGTCGCCCTGCGTGGTCATCTTGATCTCCTTCACCGCCATCAGCTCCCCCGTCATCTCGTTCAACCCCAGGAACACCTGCCCACCGCACCGCACCACAGCCCATGCGCGCGTGCATACAGGCAGGCAGATGAGCATACAGGCGGGCAGATGAGCATACAGGCGGGCAGATGAGCATACAGGCGGGCAGATGAGCATACAGGCGGGCAGATGAGCATACAGGCGGGCAGATGAGCATACAGGCAGGCAGATGCGCAAGCAGTGCAGAGCAAGAGAAGCACTAACGCGAGCAAGAGAAGCAGTAACCCGTTGCTTCATGCCACCAACAACATCAACGCATCTACACCGCTAAATCAGACCACGCAGGACCTCGGCATTAATGACCCTCACCAGTACAACCTTGGCAATACCTACCAAAGCAGGTCATGAGACCCTATAAATCACTTTTTGAAAACGGATCACTTGATATCAGCAGATATGAGCATGTGAAGGGAGGAAAGGACAGAGCTGTTGGGCAAGCAATCCAGTAACTCCTGCCTGGGCACACGGGCAACGAGAGCTGCCTTGTTTGACCCATGCATGCACACAGCCACGTTGCACGCACCTTGCCATATGCACTCACCTTGCCATATGCACTCACCTTGCCATATGCACTCACCTTGCCATATGCACTCACCTTGCCATATGCACTCACCTTGCCATATGCACTCACCTTGCCATATGCACTCACCTTGCCATATGCACTCACCTTGCCATATGCACTCACCTTGCCATATGCACGCACCTTGCCATATGCACTCACCTTGCCATATGCACGCACCTTGCCATATGCACTCACCTTGCCATATGCACTCACCTTGCCATATGCACGCACCTTGCCATATGCACTCACCTTGCCATATGCACGCACCTTGCCGTATGCACTCACCTTGCCGTATGCACTCACCTTGCCACATGCACGCACCTTGCCACATGCACTCACCTTGCCGTATGCACTCACCTTGCCATATGCACTCACCTTGCCATATGCACTCACCTTGCCGTATGCACTCACCTTGCCGTATGCACTCACCTTGCCATATGCACTCACCTTGCCATATGCACTCACCTTGCCATATGCACTCACCTTGCCGTATGCACGCACCTTGCCATATGCACTCACCTTGCCATATGCACTCACCTTGCCGTATGCACTCACCTTGCCGTATGCACTCACCTTGCCATATGCACTCACCTTGCCATATGCACTCACCTTGCCATATGCACTCACCTTGCCATATGCACTCACCTTGCCATATGCTCTCACCTTGACATATGCACTCACCTTGCCATATGCACTCACCTTGCCATATGCACTCACCTTGCCATATGCACTCACCTTGCCATATGCACTCACCTTGCCATATGCACTCACCTTGCCATATGCACTCACCTTGCCATATGCACTCACCTTGCCATATGCACGCACCTTGCCGTAAGCACCTTCGCCCAGCATCTCGCCCTTCTTCCACTTGAGCGACACCGCTCCACATGCCGCCTCCCCACCATCCGCAGCAGAGGCAGTGGTGGGGGTGAAGGGGGATGGGGTGGCGGCGGAAGGGGTGATTGGAGCATTGGGAGCGGCGACCTTGGGAGAGGCAGAGGGGTCCGTGCTTTTGGGGGCAACAGGCGACGCAGCAGCTGCTTCCCCTGTGCCCGCACTGGATGCTTCGTCTGCACTCCCGTCCACATGCCCAGGCTGTGCATCGCCGCCCTCATGCTTCTCCAGTGGCTTCGGAGACAGCGGCGGTCGCACTGCTCCCTTCTTCTCCACCTCCCCGCCCCTCCCTTCCTTTCCCTCTGCTGATGCGTCCCCCCATCCCTGCTCTCCCCCACGTGCCTCATCCCCACTCCCACTCCTCTCCACCGCATTCCCTGCACTTGAACACTCCGCGTGTGCAGTGTGGCTGGGCTGTGTGTTGCCATGAGCGGGCAGTGAGAACTTGACTGACTTGCGTGCACGAGCGGGTGGCCCGGCGCAAGCAGGATGAGCAGCTTGGGAGGAACACGGAGACGCGCCCGCAGCAGCAGCTGTGCCACTGCCCTCAACGCCTGCACTCGAGGCAGCAGCACCAGAAGCACCGCCACTACCACTACTACTGCCAGCGCCACTGCCTGCAGCAGCAGCAGGTGCAGCAGTGGGAGCAGCAGCGCGCCCAGCAGCGCCACCTGTGCTGCCACCCCTCTCTCGCTTGCCTCCGGCACTGCCGGGCCTCTCTGCCCTCCCTCCTGCACTGCCAGGTCTCTCCCCTTTGCCCCTCCCAGCTGCCCCTGCCCCTGCCCCTGCCCCTGCCCCTGCCCCTGCCCCTGCCCCTGCCCCTGCCCCTGCCCCTGCCCCTGCCCCTGCCATTGCTCCACCCGCAGCTGGTGCTGGCGAGGCACCCTCCGCTCGCCCCGAGGCCTCCCCACCACCACCCGGGACACCGGAGCCGAGGCGGCGCAGGGAGGGGGGAACGGGGCGAGGGCCCCTGGCGGCGTGCGTGCTCTCGTCGTCCGTCACCACCTCCCTGCCGCCACCACCGCGCTGCCCACCCCCTCCCCCCCCTGCTCCTGCCACACCCTCCTCTGCCGCTGCTGCGCCCGCCCCTCCCCTGCTGCTGCGCGATGCACTGCTGTCCGGCGGAGGGGACGCGCAGGGGCGCAGGCCCGGGCGGCGCTGCTGGCGGGCGCGCACAGACACCTCCGTGTCGCTGCACGGCCAGTCACCCCCCTCCCCCCCCTGCTGCTGCCGCCCCCGCCCCTCGCCCTGCCCCACCTTGCCGTGCTGCTGCTGCCCGCCCTCTCCCCCGCTGCCACTGCCACTGCCACTGCCCGGCCTGCCGCGGCCTTCCAATGCCTGGCGCCGCAGGTGCGGGTGGGAGGAGGGCGGCGACGTGGCAGAGGGTGACGTGAGCGGCGAGGAGGGCGCCGGGAGGGGGGAGCGCGGCCCACCCGACGCCGACGCCAACGCTGATGCTGATTTAAGCTGATGTTGATGCTGATGCTGATGTTGATGCTGATGCTGATGTTGATGCTGATGCTGATGTTGATGCTGATGCTGATGCTGATGCTGATGCTGATGCTGATGCTGATGCTGATGCTGATGCCTCCCCCACGGCGTCACTGCTGCCCACCCGCCTCACTGCCCCTGACCCCTGCCCTCCCCTCCCAGCCGCCCCAGCAGCACCGCCAGCAGCGGAGGCAGCAGCAGTGAGCGGGTCAGCAGCCCCCAAGCGTGTGGGTGGTGGCGCTGGTTTCCCCCCCGCCCTCTCCTCCTGCGACGTGCCCCTCCCCACCACCCGCCTGCCCACCCCCTTAGCTGCGTCCCTGCGCCCCGCGCCCCCATGCGGCCCCCCATGCTCGCCACGGTCACTCTCCGACTGAGACGACTCCGCCATCGCCCCCTCTGCACCCTCCCCACTCAACATATCCCCGCTGCTGCCTCCTCTCTCCTTCCCACTTCCCCTTCTCTCCTTCCCACTTCCCTCTCTCTCCTTACCACTGCCGTCTCTCTCCCTCGATCTGTTCGTATCCACCCCCCCAGGTTGTGCTGCGCGTCCCCCTGCCTCCGAGCAACCCTCTCTGCCGCCATCACTCGCGGACTTCTCACCCCCATGCCGCTCCTCATCTCCCGGACTCACCACCCCTCGCTGCTGCTGCTGCACGCCCTGTCGGCTGCTGCTAGAGGGGCTTTTCATGCCACTGTCACCGCGCACAGCGCCCTCACCACCCATGCCACCGCGCTCCACCGCATCGCCTGCACTCATGGCCTGCGCGCTCAGAGACTGTGTGCGCACCATCCCTCCCCGCCGACCCCCACCCTCCGCCCCTCTCCCTCGCCCCTCCGCCCCACCCCTCCCCCCCCCACCCCCCCTGGCGGCGGCACCAGCGCCCCTGCCAGCCGCCCGGCCCAGCCGTGACTCGCCTGCACCGCCGCCGTCGCTCAACATGCCTCCCACACTGCTGCTCCCCGGTACTCGCGCCCGCCGCAACCGCACTGCACCGCCTTCCACATCTGACATCACTTCGCCATGCCCCGGCCCCAGTCCCCCTCCCAATCCTCCTGCCCCTCTCCCCGCTGCCCTCCCTCCCACCCCTCTGCCCCCTCCCTCGCCCCCCTCGCCACTGCCCCCATGCCGCCTGCCTGCCGCTGCCCCCGCCGCCACGGCCCTGTCAGCAGCGCCGTCCAGTGCGCGCCCACCCAGGCTGCCGCCAACCCTCCTCCCTGCAGCCCCCATCCCTCCCCCTCCAGTCCCGCCCCTGAACCCACCCGTCGCCCCCACACCGCCTGCACCCACGATCCTGCCAGGAGCGCCGTCGGCCTCAGCGCCGTGGCGGGTGGGGGAGGCAGAGGAGCGCGAGGACGGCAGGGGCGAGGACGAGAGGGCGGGGGACGCGGCGGGGCTGTCAGAGCTGGCGGCGCGGCGGGCGCTCTCCCACGCCGCCGTGAACAGCTGCTCTTGGCCCTCCACGGGGGTGGGGCTGCGCGCGCGCTGCCCCGGCACCGCGTGGCTGCGAGTGGGGCTGCGGAAGCTCATGGTGCGCGCCGGCAGCCCCACGGGCTGGGCGGCAGCAGACGAGAAGGACGAGGGCGGCGCGGCGTGGTGGTGGGCGGCGGGGCGCAGGCGGTCGCGCGAGGGGCTGCGGAAGGACATGGAGCGCGCGGGCAGGGAGGTGGGGTGCGCGGCCAGGGGCGAGATGGACGCGGAGGGCGATGGGTGGGTGGGGCGTGGGTCGCGGGAGGGGCTCTGGAAGCTCATGGTGCGATTCTTGGGCAGCAGCCAGTCCGCGCGTGATGGCGGCGCTGCCACGGAGGCAGAGAGCGGGAAGGCATCCGCCCCGCGCGCACCCGATGCACCACCCTGCCCCTCGCGCCTCGCCCGCCCGCCCTCCCTGTGCCCCAGGGCCCCCCCTGGCAGGCGTGTGTGGGCGGAGGCGGCAGTGTCGTCCAGGCCGGCCTCCCAGTGCAGCCCGCCCCCCTCCCCGCCGCCACTGCCGCCGCTCTTGCTGCCCATGTGGTCCGTATCAGCCCCGGCCCCCCCAGTGCAGCGCACGTGGTACTCGTGCAGCTTGCGGAAGAGCGCTCGGATGCGGTCGGAGGAGGTGAGCTGCTGCGCCACGAGCCCGTCGCTGTTGCGCGCATACATGTTGGCGCCCGCCACCAGCAGCAGCTTTATTATCCCCCTGCTGGCCGCGGGGTGCGCACATGGGAGGTGGGGGGCGAGAGTGAAGGAGAGAGGGAGAGACATGGCAGAATTGCGGGTAGAGGGAGAGTGAAGATGGAGGGAAGGGAGCAGAGAGCTGTGACGGGAAGCGGGAAGACAAGGGCGGATGGGGAAAAGGAGGGGTGAGGGTGAAGACGAGGAAGCTGCTTGGCACACTCGGCCCCACGGCAGATGGGCACAGGAGGGAGGGAGGGACCGTGGCAGCACAGGAGGGAGGGAGGGGCCGTGACAGCAGATAAGTGCACAAGATGAGCAGCACAATGGCATAGGCGGCACAACGGCACGGGCGCATACTGCATTCTCCACAGCTTCTCCTTCCCCACTTCATTCCCACCCTCATAACCGCCCTCATCACTTTCCACCCCCTATGCTACAGCACCACCCACCACACAGCTGTGGCCATACGCGCACTTGTGGCCCCACCACATGCGCGCGCGCGCGCGCACACACACACACACCTGTGGCCGGTGCTGCAAGCGTAGTGCAGCGCGGAGCAGCGGTGGGCGTCGGTGGCGTTGATGTCGGCGCCGTTGGTGAGCAGCAGCCGCACCAGCTCCTCACTGCCCGCCTGCACCGCCCACAGCAGCGGCGGTGAAAAGCCGTCGTGCTGTTTCCCACGCCACACAGGGGTGGGTGTGAGCGCGGTGAGGGATGGCAGTGGATTGGATTCAAACGAGTGAGCACGTGAGACAGTTGGGGCGACGGCCCAAGGAGGGGCGATGGCTGACAGGAAGCATGCCTGAGGCAGAGGCAGAGGCAGAGTAGGCAGCCTTCACATGTGTGCATGCGACCGACCGGGGAGTGGTGCTCTCACCTCACCTCACACAATGGTGGCACGCATACAGCAGCACAGCAACACACGGAGCAGGGGACAGTGGAAACGGGGCACAGTGGGAGCACGTGACGTCACCTGAGCGGCGGGGCCCCCATGGGGGTCGGCCCCCCAGTCGAGCAGCACTGCTGCGGCGTCCACACTGCCCGCCACCACCGCCTCGTGCAGCACCGTGCGCCCCGTCGCTGCCAGGGGGAGGGGGGTGCGGAACGGGGGAATGGGAAAGAGAATGCAAGACAGCACAGCACAGCGAGGTTTTTTGGAGGCAAACAAAAAGCCAAACGGCCAAGCGGTGGTCACAGGTGCTGACACACATGGCAGGTGTGACATGGGACACGGTGGTTGGTGGTTGGTGGTTGGTGGTTGGTGGTGGCGTTGGGAGGCAAGGCGCGCCAGGATTGAAGCCTCATTGACACCTCAGCAATGTCTGTGCAGCAAACCGTGCAAGATGCCTCGTGTTCGACTCAATCCGATGCAAGGCGGAGAGACTGAATAAGTTGAGCCGAGGCTGAGGCGAGTGGTGGGGTGCAATGCAAGGGGGGAGGACTGACCGGGGTGGAGGGCGGAGAGCAGGGGCGTGCGCGAGGGCGCGTCCTGCAGGATGGCGTGCACGAGGTCCGCATCATTGCTGCGCGCCGCCTCGCCCAGCCGCAGCACGCGCTTCAGGTTGATGCCCTCGCCGCCCGCCCCCGCACCCCCATTCTCCCGCCCGTACGGCCTGGCGAGCCCAAGCGCCCCCCCCATGCCCAACGCACTCTCCATGTCCGCGCCCCTCTCCCGCGCCCCCTCCAGCCCTGCGCCATCCCGCCCCAGCCCCACGCCACCGTGGCGCAGGTCCAGCAGGTCGTCCGAGTCAAACAGGCCACTGCCGTTCACTGCCAGGCTGTTGACACGTGGCAGCACGGCACTGGTGGCGAGCATGTCGGTGTCATCAAACCCTGACGACTGCAGGGGAGGAGGTGCGGGAAGAGAGGGGAGGGTTGGAATAGAAGAGGTTTGAGAGGAGGCAGGGTGACATGAGAGGCAGGCGCACACATGGTGGTTCATGGTGACCGCCCAGCCCAGTGCCCACTCTGCTACCACACACCACACCAAGCCAACGCACCCCCTCTCACATGCACTCACTCTCACTGAACCATGCAACCTTATGCTCCTTGCTCTATCCTCGCCACACTCACACACCCCTCGCAACAGTCACGTCACAGCCACGCCACGCACAGTGCGGTCCAGGCCCAGCCATTGCGCGCCCAACAGGTGCCGCCCGCCGCCCGCCCCACTGCTGCTGCTGCTGCTCAGGTCCGCCGCCTGGTGGCTCAGCGTGCGCGCCCACACCCTGCCGCCCCCGCCAACGCCAGTCCTGCTCGCGCCCATACCGCCGCGCCCTCCCATCCCTCCGCTCACGCTCCCCTGCACCCCGCGCGCCCCCCCTTCAAACGAGCTCCCCATGACCAAGCCTTCCCCCAGCCTGCCCCGGCCCTCATGGCGCCTTCCGCCTTCCCCCAGCGCCCCGAATCCCCCCCTCTCCGCGTCCAGCGCCAGGCTCCCCGCGTGCAGATGCCCCACATCCCGCCCCGCCAGCTGCGCGTGCCCCCCTAAGCCGCCCCGCGCATCCTCCGCGCCCTCGTCGAAAAAGTCCCCCAGCGGGCCTCCGCCAAGCCCGCTGTCGTGCGGGGAGAGGCCATGCGGGGAGAGCCCATGGGGGGAGAGGCTGTGCGGCGAAAGGCTCAGCCCCGCGGCGAGGGAGCGCTGGTGCTGCGCGTCCTGCGCGAAACGCGCCGCTCCCCCTCCTCCGTCGTCGCGCAGGCCATGGCTGTGCGGGCGGAGCGACGAGGTGGGCCCCGCCTGGTACAACACGTGGCGCGGGGCGCTCACGCCGTGCTGCTGCTGGTGGTGGGGGTGCGCGTGGCGCGGGGAGTGGTGGCGGTGGCGTGGGAGTGACGCGGGGGGGGTGGCGGCGTGGCGGAAGGGGTCGTCGGAGTCGAGCGAGTCGTACGCCGCGCGGAGGGCGGCGGGGACGGCGCTGCTGTGGCTGCGGGGGAAGTTGCGCGGAAAGTCGCGGGGGGGGCTCACGTCGCCGTCGCCGTCGAGCGTGGAGACGGGGAACGTGCCCGACCGGTGCATGGCGGCGCGCGGGGCGAGAGCGGATTGAATGCGCGTCAAGAGGAGGTGGGAGCGAATGGCGGCATAGCGGCCGACAAAAATCCCGCCACCCGCGCGTGCCGCTCCCCCTCCCTCACTCGCCACCCGCGCGGCGCATTGCGGCCGCACCGACGAGGTACCGTCGCCGCCAGCTCTCGCGTGGTCGGCTGGCGGGAGGAGGAAAGTGCGGCGCGGCGGTGGAGTAAAGGGCTCGAGCGCGGTGCCCTAGATCGCAAGTATTGAGAAATTCCGCGTGTGAAGATGACACAGAGCTTGTCGATTAGGCTGGCTGCACGATTCCTACAGAAGCAACTCGCTTGTGCTGGCGACACCAGGACCAGTTAGCAAGGCGCGGCGTACAGGTCGAGAAGGTGACGGGAGATAAATGAAGAGCTGTGCGTGCAAGTGGTGCGCGAAAGGGCAGAGCAGCAAGCGGAGGAGGCGAAGGGCCGAGGAGGGAGCTGCGGGCAGCGAGCGGCGAGTTGGAGGGAGCTACAGTGGTGCATCTTGCTAGGGTTCGCGACAGAACGTGGGGTTCGTTCTGCCGAACGTGAGAAGCGGACTCCTGTTACGGGTGCAATCGAAGGATCAGGCGAGGATTGCACTAGAGGGGCGGGAGTAAACAAGAAATAGTGTAAGATCTCTCAGACTCCTAACCGCGCACCACCACAACGCGTATAAAGCCCGTTCTTCGCCCGTTACAGCCCCCTGAATTAATTACCCCAACCGAACTGGGCCTGAGTCCACCCCATCCCGTGTTTCTGAGAAAAGGCGCCGGTAGGCGCTCCACCAACCAGCGTAGGTGACACATCTCGTAACTCCCAAACCAGCGGCGCCTACAGCGTAGGTTCTCGACACACAAGCCCAACCAGTAGGTTACAGTGATGACGCGTGTGCGCCGACAACGTCCAGCTCGCCGGCGCGTGAAGCAGCAGTAGCCGTGCGAGCGTGCGGTCTATCGCGGGGCTCGTCACCTCTCACGCCCGTCTGCCTGCCATCGCGACGTGCCGTCGCGTGCCCGCGCGTGCCCGTGCGGATCCGCGTCGCTCATCGCACACTCGCCGCGCCCGCACTGTCGCAAGCCCCGCGACCTCTCTTTTGCACTCGTCGCGCGACGAACGCGCGGATCATTGGGGTCACCCGCACGGTAGTCGTCACCCGCACGGTAGTCGTCACCACGCCCGCCCTCTCGCACACGCCCACCCCACCCGATCGCTCTCGCCTCTCCCGCTCTCGCCCCGCACGCTCTCCCACACGCGCGCACGCCGCACTAGCCGCAGCACCTCACGTCGGCGCATCCATAGCGCGCGCACCATCTGCGGGGCCCAGCTCTCTCTTGCAAACCGCCGCGTCAGCTAACACACACACCCCGCGCTCGCCCGCGGGCCCTCTTCACGTCGTCCGCCCGCCCTCTCACACTCGCCACGCCTCCACACGCGCCCTTACTCATAAGCCCCTGCTTTCCTTCGAACAACTTCATTTCCCTTTCCCTATTTTTGAAATTTCATGGTTATTTTTCTCATGCCTTCCCTGCCATTCCCTCCTCTTCTTATCCAATCTCTCCCTTTCCCTGCTACCTGCTCTTCCCTCCCCCTCCCTGCCTTTTCCTCCCCTTCCCTCCCCGTGTTTCCACTTCCCCACCGTTCCCTCACCCGCCCTCCCGTCTCGTGCCTGTATAGCCAGCGCCACTCCGTTGCTGCGAGTGCGAGGGAGGGCGGGCGCGGGGAGGCGTGTGCATGGCGGCGCACGATTAGAATTCGGGCTTCTCTCACGAGGTCAGTTTCCCCCTTTCAGCCCTTCCCTTCCATTCCTGTCTGAGTTGTTTTACCCTCTTCCTGCCTTTCCAATGTCTTCCCTTGGACTGTTATGGAGATTAGCGTGTATTGCATTTTGGAACTATGGCTGCAGTGGCTCAAGAGCAAACCTTTCAAACTGTGCTGTGAATTGTGACCACAGATTCATTCAGCCACAAACTCTGACCGTTGAATTGTGTCTCGGTTTTCAGAACAGCATGTTGGCCTGATTGTCATTGGCCAGACCGCCATTTCAGCCTCCAGTTGGGAAAGAGCCATCATGGCAACGCCAGTCGTAGGGGCAGCGGCGCAAATGGGAGCGAGTGGGGGCGCGACGGCAACGAGGGCGGCGGACGCGGAGAGGGCGCAGCTGGTGCAGCAGGCAGCTGAACTTGGCGGGCGTGCGCGCGCGCGTGGCGGAGCTGCAGGGCAGCATCGCGCGCGTCATGGGCGCCTTCCACGACCAGCACGTGCACCTCAAATGGTACGAGCAGCACGTGCACCTCAAATGGTACGAGCAGCACGTGCACCTCAAATGGTACGAGCAGCACGTGCACCTCAAATGGTACGAGCAGCACGTGCACCTCAAATGGTACGAGCAGCACGTGCACCTCAAATGGTACGAGCAGCACGTGCACCTCAAATGGTACGAGCAGCACGTGCACCTCAAATGGTACGAGCAGCACGTGCACCTCAAATGGTACGAGCAGCACGTGCACCTCAAATGGTACGAGCAGCACGTGCACCTCAAATGGTACGAGCAGCACGTGCACCTCAAATGGTACGAGCAGCACGTGCACCTCAAATGGTACGAGCAGCACGTGCACCTCAAATGGTACGAGCAGCACGTGCACCTCAAATGGTACGAGCAGCACGTGCACCTCAAATGGTACGAGCAGCACGTGCACCTCAAATGGTACGAGCAGCACGTGCACCTCAAATGGTACGAGCAGCACGTGCACCTCAAATGGTACGAGCAGCACGTGCACCTCAAATGGTACGAGCAGCACGTGCACCTCAAATGGTACGAGCAGCACGTGCCTCAAATGGTACGAGCAGCACGTGCACCTCAAATGGTACGAGCAGCACGTGCACCTCAAATGGTACGAGCAGCACGTGCACCTCAAATGGTACGAGCAGCACGTGCACCTCAAATGGTACGAGCAGCACGTGCACCTCAAATGGTACGAGCAGCACGTGCACCTCAAATGGTACGAACAGCACGTGCACCTCAAATGGTACGAGCAGCACGTGCACCTCAAATGGTACGAGCAGCACGTGCACCTCAAATGGTACGAGCAGCACGTGCACCTCAAATGGTACGAGCAGCACGTGCACCTCAAATGGTACGAGCAGCACGTGCACCTCAAATGGTACGAGCAGCACGTGCACCTCAAATGGTACGAGCAGCACGTGCACCTCAAATGGTACGAGCAGCACGTGCACCTCAAATGGTACGAGCAGCACGTGCACCTCAAATGGTACGAGCAGCACGTGCACCTCAAATGGTACGAGCAGCACGTGCACCTCAAATGGTACGAGCAGCACGTGCACCTCAAATGGTACGAGCAGCACGTGCACCTCAAATGGTACGAGCAGCACGTGCACCTCAAATGGTACGAGCAGCACGTGCACCTCAAATGGTACGAGCAGCACGTGCACCTCAAATGGTACGAGCAGCACGTGCACCTCAAATGGTACGAGCAGCACGTGCACCTCAAATGGTACGAGCAGCACGTGCACCTCAAATGGTACGAGCAGCACGTGCACCTCAAATGGTACGAGCAGCACGTGCACCTCAAATGGTACGAGCAGCACGTGCACCTCAAATGGTACGAGCAGCACGTGCACCTCAAATGGTACGAGCAGCACGTGCACCTCAAATGGTACGAGCAGCACGTGCACCTCAAATGGTACGAGCAGCACGTGCACCTCAAATGGTACGAGCAGCACGTGCACCTCAAATGGTACGAGCAGCACGTGCACCTCAAATGGTACGAGCAGCACGTGCACCTCAAATGGTACGAGCAGCACGTGCACCTCAAATGGTACGAGCAGCACGTGCACCTCAAATGTGCACCTGAATGGCGGGGCACCTGAATGGGTGGCACATTCAGGTGCCGCCCCGCCACCTCGCCCCACACGAGGGCGAGGGGGATGCCGCCATTCACCGTGCAGGGCGAGGGGGGTGCCGCCATTCACCATGCAGGGCGAGGGGGGTGCCGCCATTCACCATGCAGGGCGAGGGGGGTGCCGCCATTCACCATGCAGGGCGAGGGGGGTGCCGCCATTCACCATGCAGGGCGAGGGGGGTGCCGCCATTCACCATGCAGGGCGAGGGGGGTGCCGCCATTCACCATGCAGGGCGAGGGGGATGACGCCATTCACCATGCAGGGCGAGGGGGGTGCCGCCATTCACCATGCAGGGCGAGGGGGGTGCCGCCATTCACCATGCAGGGCGAGGGGGGTGCCGCCATTCACCATGCAGGGCGAGGGGGATGCCGCCATTCACCATGCAGGGCGAGGGGGGTGCCGCCATTCACCATGCAGGGCGAGGGGGGTGCCGCCATTCACCATGCAGGGCGAGGGGGGTGCCGCCATTCACCATGCAGGGCGAGGGGGGTGCCGCCATTCACCATGCAGGGCGAGGGGGGTGCCGCCATTCACCCACCTGCCTAATGCCCTCCGACCGCCCCCCTCTCCTCACGTTCCTCTCTTATTCTCGTCCCCTCCTTTCCCTCCACCTCCCCCCTCACCCGCCCACCCCCCATCCCCGGGTGGGCACCAGGTCGGAGGCGGTGGCGGCGCTGAGCGTGGTGAGTGCGGGGCTGTACAGCCTCGTGGATGACGTCATGCCCATGCTGCGCTCCTTCGCTGTCTGCCCCGCCACCGTCACCGCTCACAACGCTGCCGGTAAGCCACACAGCTGGAGGGGATTGCTGCAGTGCATTCGTTGGAGGGGTGCGAAGCTTTGAATGGCGCCACAACATGTGGCTGCTGGTTTGTGCCTCTCCGCCACTTCCCACTGTGCAGCACTGCTGCACTCCCCCCCACCATTTTCTGCAGTCTCATCTCATCAACCCGTCCCAGGGCACAGGAAGGGGGCCAATCGTCCCACTCTGTCAATCAATCCATCGCTCGCTTTCACTCCCCCTCCCCCTTCTTGTCTCTCCTCCCTCCCGTCCCCCTTTTCCTTGCGCACCACCGCGCCCCCTGCCCGCAGTGCTGCCGATAATGCTGTCGTCCAAGCTGCTGCCGGAGATGGAGGTGGACGCGCGGGCCAGGGAGGCGGCTCTCAGGGCCCCGCTCGCAGCGCTGCCGCTGCCGCAGCAGCTCGACATGCTGCAGCTGCAGGTGCCCACCACCTCGTCTCGCCTTGCCTTGCCCTTCCCTGCCCTGCCCTGCCCTGCCCTGCCCTGCCCTGCCCTGCCCTGCCCTGCCTTGCCCTGCCCTGCCTTGCCTTGCCCTTCCCTGCCCTGCCTTGCCCTGCCCTGCCCTGCCCTGCCCTGCCTTGCCCTGCCTTGCCCTGCCCTTGCCCTGCCCTGCTCTGCCCTGCCTTGCCTTGCCCTGCCTTGCCTTGCTGTGCCATGCCGTGTGCTGAAAACACAGTGGGGTTGGGGAGGGGCAGGGGCGGATGCAGAGCCAAAGGTGGAGGAATGGGAGCAGTGGTTTGATGGGCCATGCGCGGGGTGGGTGTGTGGTGGCCATTCAGCTCCAGCCTCACTGCCTCTTGTTCATCACACTTCAACATTTGCTCTCATCTCTTTGCCCCTCGCCACCCTCTTCTCTCTATTGCTCCAGGGCACAGCACTCCCCTCGCCTCTCTCCCACGCGCCGACTCTCCCTTCCCTTAACCACGGCAGGCCAGGCAGCATGGCATGACGTGCACATCACAACCGCTGTGGCCCGCCTCTGCCCGTGGAAGAGCCTCTGCCCGTGGAAGAGCCTCTGCCCGTGGAAGAGCCTCTGCCCGTGGAAGAGCCTCTGCCACTGCTCGCCCTCTTCACACCCTTGCTTCTCCCTTTCGTTTCCTCTCACCCTGCGCTCCGCTCTCCCCCTGCCCACCTTCTCTCCCTGACCCCCTCTCTCCCACCCCTCACGGCAGGCGAAGATGGTGGACGTGGCGTGTGAGCGCGCGGAGAAGGTCATTCTGGACGCGCGCAAGGCGCACGGCATGGGCGCGCGCCAGGCGGCGGCCAGCGTGGCCGCGCTGTACGGCGCCGGCAGCACCGACAAGGCTGCCCTCGCCCGCACAGCCGAGCAGGAGAAGCTTCTCAGAAATGCACTGGCCACTGGCGAGGGTGAGGGAGGAGAGAGGGCGTTGGTGCGAGTTGGTGTGTTTTGACCCATGTGCAGCATGACTAGATGCTCGCATCCTCACATGCACCTCTCACCATACACCCCTCAATTCCACCTTTGTCGCCTCCCCCCTCTTCTGCCTTCACACCCACCTGTCATCACAGCCTTTTCTTCATCTCCTCCCTCCCCACGCCGCTCCCTTCTCCCCCCAACCCCCCCCTCCCATGGGTTCAGGGTTCCGAGTGGTCCCCCAGACTGCGGGTGCTGGGCCTGCTCCTCCTGCCTACGGCGCCCACCCAGGCCAGGCAGCGCCAGCAGCAGCGTCCCTGCCGCCACACATGCGCCCACGCAAGAGGAAGCACCCGCATGACGCCACCACCCCTGCTGCTCCTGCACCTGCTTCTGCAGCCACCGCCACCGCCACTGCCGCTCACACTGACGTGCCCGCCTCATCACCCGCCCCGCCCGCCTGTACGCCAACTCTCTCTCCCTTAGCCCCCATTCCCCCTCTCTCTCACCCCCATCCCCCCTCTCTCCCACTCCCATCTCCCCTCTCTCTCACCCCCATCCCCCCTTTCTCCCACCCCCATCCCCCCACTCTCTCACCCCCATCCCCCCTCTCTCCCACCCCCATCCCCTTTCTCTCCCTGCCCCCATCCCCTGTCTCTCCTTCTCCCCTGCCTCCGTCCCCACCCTCTTTCGCCCTCCCCTCTCTCCCTTGCTCCCATCCTACTCATCCCTTCTCTCCACCACCCCCATCCTCTCTCTCCCCCCACCCTAACCCCCCTCTCTCCCCCACTTCCATTTGCTATCTCCTCCACCCCCTCGCTCCCCCACCTCCAATTCCTCTCTCCCCTGCCACCACTTTCTTTGTCTCTTTTTGCACTTGCAAGCCGTTTTTCTGCATTCGCACAGCTCATCCCAATCAAAGGAGCCCACACTCCCTGCTATCTCATCCCAATCAAAGGAGCCCACACTCCCTGCTATCTCATTCCATCTGCACTCCTTCTCGTTTGCTTGCAATCCCCCTCTCCTTCGGTGTCCTAATCTGCATTCCATCCACTCGGCCCCTCTTTCCTATGCTGCCCCCGCCCCACGCAGCGGCACCCACCCCTCTCGCAACCACCACATCTGCTGCTCCCTCCCTTCCCCCCTCGCACCCCATCTCCTCTGCCGCTCACCCCTCCCCGCCCACCGCCCCTCTGGTCCCGTCGGCCGTATCGCCCTCCCCGCTCGCACCCGCTGCGCCTGCCAGTGCAGCGGGAGGGGCAGCACCGCGCCCGCCCGGTGCAGCAGCGGGGTCGGCAGCGCTGCCTGGGCGCCCCTCCACCGCTCCGCTCACCGCCCCCTTGCCCTCCCTCTCCACCGCCACTCCCGCCGGCATCGCACGCCCGTCTGCTGCACCCAATCCCATGCTGGCAGCTGGCGGCGCGGGCAGCACAGGAGGGGGGTCGGGGGCGCCGACGATGCTGCTGGGCATGCCGAGTGGCATGCGCACGTTTGAGGGGCTGGGAGGGGCGCTGCTCGGCGTGCCAGGTGGCTGGCCCGCCGCCATGCCCGGCTCGGCAGGCGCAGCCTCTGCTGGAGGAGCGGTGCCGCTCGGGCGAATGCCGCCCTCAGCCTCGGGTCTGGCTCGGCCGAACGTACCCATGGGGGGCTCTGGCCAAGCTGCAGGTGCAGGGTTGGCAGGTGCAGGCAGTACAGGAGGAGGTGGTGCGGTGGGTGTGCCTGGCGCAGCAGCGGCGTCTGGTGGGGCTGCAGCAGGGGGCATGGGCGACTTTGGTGCTGCTGGCGCCCCTTCCCACGCAGGGCCAGCAGCCATGGGCGTGGCAGATGGGGCGGGGGGAGGTGGAGGAGGAGCGCTGTCAGCACTGGGCGCCACGATGGGTGTAGCAGGGACCATAGCAGCGCCACAGATGAGAGGAAGCTACGCCGCACCGTCCCCGGGCAACCTTGGGCAGGTGGCATCTGCCCAGATGCACCTGGCCACAAGCCCCCCCCAGTACGGCCTGCAGTCCGGCACGGCCGGGTTCTCTGCCCCGTCACCCCCCGTGTTCCAGGCTGCGTCGCCCGGCCTGTCGTACAACGCCCCCTCGCCACAGCTCATGCACGCCTCCCACCCGCACTCGCCCATGCTCCCCCTGCAGCACCAGCAGCAGCTGCAGCAGCAACAGGCAGCCTCGCCCATGCTTCCCGTTGGTGGGGGTGGGACGGGGCACGGGGGGGCGCAGCTTCTGCAGCAGCCAATGGCATCGCTGAGTCAGCAGAGGCAGATGCAGCGACTGCACCTGCAGAGGCAGAGGCAGCAGCAGCAGCAACAACAGCAGCAGCAACAGCAACAACAGCAACAGCAGCAGCAGCAGCAACAGCATTTCAACTAGTGGAGGCGCATGTTACCACAAGAACTGCACGGGTTGCAAGGGGGGGTGATGGTGGTGTGTGACACCTTGGTGGGGACGAGGACCTCAGCTTGGATTCACGGCCCTGCTGAAGGATCGGTGTGCCCCGCCTAAAATAGTGTCGAAGTCAGTGTTAGTGGTTGACTTCTCAGTGATTTTGTTACCACCTGTGGAAGTGCGAGTTTCCAATGCCAACTGACCTATCGGTGCAAGAAGAAAAACACCATAGGTGTCAAACTATGTTATAGAGGCTGTAGTGAGTCACATCCTAGGGGGTACACAAATACTCTCAACACTCTTCTTGTATCCCCCCCCCCCTTCACCCCTATCCATCATTCTCTAACTTAAAGTTTCTGAGACGATGTCAGCTGTAGGTTCCTTCCCAGCCTAGAAAAGCGCCCAGTAAAGTGCCCCATCACGTCACGCCCCGAAGGTTGCCCTGTACCACGCGCCCTTTAGCAGGCCGCGCCCCGTCCCATTTGCTGGTCTGCCCCTCACCTTTCACGCCCCTCACCCGTACACGCCCCGCCCCGTACCGTACCCTCGCGTGCAGCCCGCATGGGCCTCTTGCACGCAGCCCACACGCACCACACGCACGAGCTGCCGCGTGCACAACAGCAGCAGCGCGCGCCTGCAGCGGCAGCACGCACAGCGGCCGCCTGTGCATGAGGCAGCAGCTGCACGCGCCTCTGCAGCCACAAGTGCAGCTACAGCAGCAGCCCCACGCGCAGCTGCCCACGCACTAGGAGCCGAGGGTGCAGCAGCATTTGCTGCATGTGCCTTCGCTACGTACTGCTGCCCGTTCTCCTTGACAGGCCAAACTGACTGCTCCCGACCTCACTCCACCGCCTTGAACCGTACCTGAACGTCTGCCCCCGTGCTAGACCGCACCCAACCGCACCTAACCGCACATGCAGCACGTTCCAAACGCCTACTGCCACCGGTGTTCCACCTCTCTTCTAGCGTGACTTAGGTTCGGCCCCGTGTTTTGAGTAGTGTTCCTAGCCTCACCCCTCTTGCCTCGTTCGTTTCTCTCCTCGCTGGTTTCTCGATTAGCACTCAGGCCTCGCTCGTTACTCGTCTCGGCTCCTTCTAGCCTAGCTACTCTAGCTTAGGTCGCTGCTAGCTCAGGCCGTTCCTCGCCACGTTTCTTCGGGTGACATATGCCCTCACTCGTTTCTAGCTCCGGCCGCTTCTAGCCCTACGCTTCTAGGCCGGTAGTTCTCTCGTTATGGCGTCCACTCGCGTCCTGCATTTTGATGCGGAGAGTACAGCCCTAGAGTTTCCCTCCTGGCTCATCAGTGCCGAGCAATTCCTCGAGAGCCAGTGCCAAGACAATGATACACTATGGACGCACGCCTCCAATGACCTGCCTAAGCCTTCCCCCCCTTGCTGCCCCGGGTGCTGAGCCTACTGAGGTGGCCCAGGCGCGCTTCGATAAGGTCCATACAACTCATTCGATGTGGCTGTCGCATGATGCTGCGGTTTGCATTGCCCTCGTCATCCTTCTCCCAGAAGACTAAGAAGACCCACTTCTCCTAGGTTCAATTTGCCAAGGACTTGCTCGCTGCAATAAAGACACGCCATTCCACTCCCACCTCCGCCTCTCTTGGTCACCTCTTCCTGCCGTTTCTCTTTTCAGACCTAGGTACGTTTGACCGCACTGCTGACCATATCGCCCACCTGTGCTGCCTAGGCGTCAGCTACCGTGATGTCTGTAGTGGGGCAGAGTTTACGCTGCTCCCCACCCATGGCGATCACTATTCACTTAACTCGTCACTAGCCTCCCTGACCGCCTTGCACCTGTCCGTGACACGCTTCTTTAGAAGCATCCTAGTCCGCTCACTATCTATATTCATGAGACAGCTCTTAATGAGCCAAAACAGCAGGCTATTCTGACCAGAGAAGCCTCAAATACCTCAAGTCGCAGCCTACGCTCTCACGACGACAGGTGCGGTGGATGGACTTCCTTAAACCACTTCCGTTGTGATATTGTCCTCAGAGAGGGTTATACAACAAGGCAGACACATTGAACCGACCCAGGCACGTTGGAGGGATCCAGCTCGACAGGATGAACCCTCTGCTCATGGGCTAAATCCAACATGTGTATTTTGTGGATGAAAAATTTACTGCAGCTGAGAAACAAAAGTTTGCTGCAGTGGCAGAAGGACTTAACAAAAGGAAAGATTCAAGAAACTTTTAGTTACCGAACTATGCACTGCTCCGACAGATCTTATTGGAGGATTTCCACGATGTGGCCTATGTGGGACAATAGGAGCAACAAAACGCTGGCGGGAGTAGCGAAATACTACCACTGGCCCTGGATGGCAGAACACGTGCAGCAGTTTGTCACCTCTTGCGACACGTGCCAGCGGATGAAGAGCAGCAAGCAGAAATAAGCAATGTTATTTCAGCATTTACCCATACGGAGCAGCTACGGCAAGTTGTTTACTCTAAATCCTACTAGTAGACTGACATCAACTGTCAACGGGAGTTGTATGTTGGCCCCGTCCTCGCTTGGGCGGAGCCGACTTCGTGGTCGGGTGTAGGGTGCAGCCGACCTGCAGCAGTGGGTGAGTTGGTCGACGAGGTTGGTCGACCTGCACGGGGAGCCACTGCATGGGCGCCGACTTCGGGAGGGCGCCAACTTCGGGTGGTCGACCTGGGAAGTCGACCAGACCTTCTGGTCGACCTGGGAAGTTGACCGGACCTTCTGGTCGACCTGGTAAGTCGACCAGGCCTTCTGGTCGACCAGGAGTGACGTCGACCTAGAGCTGGTCGACCAGGGGGTAGTGGTCGACCTGGTGAGGTCGACTGGAAGTGGTCGTCGACCTGGGTGGTCGACGGGCACACACAGGAGCATCTGGTCGACCTGGTTGCCCGGTCGACCAGGTTACCTGGGTGACGAAGCCCTGCGGAGGTGCGCGACAGACGCCCAGGTGGTTTTGGCGAGGACGACCTCGGTGGTGGTATCCCGAGGTCGACGTGGCTGATCAGAGGTAGTTGTCAGCACGTGGAAGATTTGGTGTGTGCGCTGTGCAGGTGACGAGGCACTGCACGCCAATCATCTGCGAGCACCTGCGAAGTAGGTGCGCTGCTGTCCTGCGGGAGCAACGTTGGTGCACCGTCAACCTGCGACGTTGGCACGCCGTCGACTTTGCACTGCTGGAGCGCGGTCGACCAAGTCGTGCTGGCACGCGGTCGACCGTGCTGCGCTGGCAGTCGTCCTGCTTGCATGCTAGCTCTGATGTAGTCTTGCCTTGCCAACTTCATTGTATCATTGTTGTCAACTTTCTCTAGTGAAACTCTTGCCATTTTGCCCCGTGAACTAGCAAGCAGTGTGTGCACTAGGAAAACGACTAAGGAACAACGAACGCAGAGATCACACGAGCACCCGTGCCTAGCCCGTAGTCTAGCTCCTGTTGTAGTAGTTATCTCCGCATGGTGCGGTGAGCGTGGACGGCACAACGACTTACCTTTCAGTCTAGTCGACTTAGTAGGCACCTTACCTAAGTTGTTCGTAGGCCGGCAGCTGTGCGGTAGTCACTATGGTAGGCGCCGTAGGTGACACGGGGGTGGTGGACACCCTGGAGGCACGGCTGGAGAGCGCGAAGAGACGCCATGAGGCGAAGGAGTTCGGCGACATCCCTTGGGCGGTCGTCGACGCTGGCATCCGTTCCGTGTGGGCGACGGAGCACCTTTGTCGGCCTGCGTCTCCTCGACCGGTGAACGACGAAGGCGGCGTCGACGTGGGCGTCAACGCCGGGGGCGACCAAGTCGGCAGCAGTGCGGGAGGCACGTCGTCGAGGCAGCGTGGTGTGATTCACGCCGATGAAGTCGGCGGCGTTCGGGCGCGAGGGATGCGGTCGTCGGCGGCTGCAGGGTCCTCGCAGGGTGACGTCGGAGGTCGACGAAGTGGATCTGTGTGAGGATCGAGGATCGAGTTCAGAAATGAGAATGTAAATTGAATGATCACCTGGGTACAACACGAGGCTATATATAGGCTCGACACAAGGGGCAGTAACCAGGTGTTACGCGAAGGTTCTGCGGGTCGCGAAGCGTCCCGAACAGACCCTTCCCGAATTCGGTAGAAAGCATTTCGGTGGCAACCGAATAGCTCCGAATTCGGTGTAACCTAGCACGGTGCTTATAACTATATAAAATATAGGAAAGCACCTAGCCTAGGAATCAAGCAATTCATGCATGCAGAAAATAAACCTAAGCTAGAAATAGCGTAAGGAAATAATAGCAAGCATGAATAACAAGCATAAGCCGTCGTACTCTCACAATCTGTGCCGATGTCACCGAGCTACGGCTACTTCAAGTTTACGCCGGATAGGATCTTGGTGATTCCCTTTCTGGTCAGTCGACCCGACATTCTCACCTGGAAGGAAGCCATCGAGCCCCAGCTGGAGATGGCCGGGCTGATCAACTTTGCTCGCGGTACCGTGGCGACGCCGGATGACCCCGACTTGCGTGCTGAGTTTCGTGCCGTGCAGCTTCTGACCTTCACGGTCATCTCGCGGTGCTGCTCGCCAGGCGTGCAAATCGCCCTGAAGTCGTGCAGGGAGCACATCGACGCCGGCCACCGGGCGTGGCACTTCATCGAGTCGACCTACCAAGTCACTGACGACTTGTTCATCGCCCAGCTTGAAGGGCAGCTGACGCACCTGCGTATGGGCAACCAAAATACTGCGACGGACTAGTACAACCGAGCTCGGCGGATTCTTGCCACCATCAGGATGGCCGGCGCGGAGTACTCGACGGCGTCGTACGTCACCCATGTCATGCAGGGACTCCCGAGCAGCTACAACCTGCTGAAGCGGCTGTCGATGGCGCCGAGCACGCGGGCGACGCTCAACGAGGACACGTTGACCTCGTACATCCTGCAGGACGAGGCGATGCAGGAGGCCGAGCGGTCCCAAGAGCTCTTGGCGCAGGTGAACTACGTTGCCCCGGCGAAGCAAGGCGGTCGACCGGGGCAGCGTGGACAGTCTGGTGGTGGTGGAAGCAGTGGCTCGAAGCTGGCCAAGGAAGTCGACAAGAAGAAGTCGACCAAGGACAGCGGTCGAGGAGGAGGAAGTCGACGCCGGGAGTGCTGGCTGTGTGGCGAC